ATTCTCCTTTCATCAGTTTTGAAAAATCTTTATCAAACGATCAAATGCCACTTTCTCAATTAACTGAGGCATCAGCTGATCTCCCTATTAAAAACTGCAAACTCCTTTTCTCTTGATGGTGGTGGTGGTGTGCCACAGAGTCAGTTCCAACTCATAGCTACACTGCATAGGGTTTCCAAGGCTTTAAATCTTTACAGAAGTAGAAAGCCCCATCTTTGTCCTGCAGAACAGCTGGTAGTTTTGAACTACTAACCTCGGGGTTAGTAGCCCAACTTGCAATCACTACGCTACCAGTTCTCCTTCCTTTTCTCTTACCCAGCTCTATTTCTTTCCTTATAGCCCTATCACCTTCCAACAAGCAATATAATTGTTATTTTATGTGTGTATTCCATCTTCTGAGCCTTCCCTCCCCACTACAATAGGCACTCCATGAAGCCAAGGATTTTGTTTTGTCCTCTTTTATATCCACAGTTGCCAAAAATGACGCCTAATACAACACAGAAACTCAATAAATAAGAGCTGAATGAGTGAATTATATAAAAAACAAGAATTTCAATATTGTGATAAAAGCCAGTGCACATTTGACAATTAAGATATAATATTTAACCTAATAATTTAATATTCAGTCTTGTAATTCCAATCTAAAAATACATAATTTGAATAAATAAACTACTCCTGTGATCTTAAGTAAAACTCTTACTAGTTTATTAACAGTTTCAGGAACACTCAGGAGAACTTCATCACCAGACTGATACTTTATTAGATTTTGAAATAATTATTTAGGGTACTTGGAAAAGCTTGCCAGACAAAGTCCTTAAAACAAAATAGAATATATTCAATTTGTAAGTGCAAGCTGAAATATTTAAGAATTTGTCCGTGAAGGGAACCAAAAAGCGATGCATATTTCTTTTTAAAGTGATTGTTTAAATTTACTTAACTTATAAATAATAAAAGTTGTAAGATGAACGTAGAAGCTTAAGAAATAATGAAATATTAACTATTATTTTAAAAAAACAAAAGAAAGCCTCTATATGACTTTAATTGGTGAGTGGGTAGGTTGTTATAAGTGCCATTGAGTCAATTTCTACTCATAGTGACCCTGTATAGGGTTTCCAAGGAGCACCTGATGGGCTTGAACCACTAACCTTGTGGTTAGTAGCCCAGTGCCTATCTGACGTCACCACACCAGAACTAGTGGGCAAGTAAACACATACAAATGATTTAGAAAACACTGGAAACGTACAGTAACCAGAACCTGGATATTTAAGCATTTCACTAGTGCCCTCCAGTGTCTGGAAAGAGAAATAACACATGCATATAAACAATTCTTAAATTAATGAGAAACTCTAGTAGTATAGTGGAGTCCTGGTGTAATACTGTGGATTAATGCAGTACTAGTACAGAGTCGCTATAAGTCAGAACCGACTCCATGGCACACAGCCACCAAGTTTGTTTGAACCACAAGGTCATTGATTCAAGCTCACCAGTTGCTCCTCAGAAACCCTATACAGGACCCTATGGGTCAGAGGCAATGCGTAGCCACAATTGTGAGGCTGGCCCAGGACTGGGCAGTGTTTCGTTCTGTTGTATGTAGGGTCACTATGAGTTGGTACCAACTTGATGGCACCTAACAACAACAATATAGAAAACAAGATCCTCACCACTGGACCAATGAATAAGGATAAATGGAGAAAGTACCAAAGTTGTTAAAAGACTTCATATTCTTAGATCAACCATCAACTCTCATGGAACCAGCAGTCAGGAAATCAAACGATGTATTGCATGAGGCAAAATCTGCTGCACAAGCCCTCAAGATGTCCATTTGAAGACTAGGGCGCACCTGACCCAAGCCATGGTATTTTTAATAGCCTCATATGCATGTGAAAATTGGACAATGAATAAGGAAGACCATAGAAAAATTTATGCATTTGAGTTACGGTGTTGGAGGAAAATATTAAAGGTATTGTGGACTGTCAGAAGAACAAACAAATCTGTGTTGAGAGAAATACAGCAAGAATATGTGTTGAGAGAAGTACATCCAGAATATTCCTTAGAAGCCAGACTTCATTCCTCATAGTTCAGACTTACTATCAGAAGGTACCAGTCTCTGGAGTGGGACATCATGCTAGGTAAAGCAGAGGGTCAGCAAAACAGAGGAAGACCCCCAACAAGAAGGATTAGCACAGTGGCAGCAGCAATGGGCTCAGGTGTAACAATTTTAGGATGGTGCCCAATGTTTCCGTCTGTTGTGCATAGGATTACTATGAGTCTGAACCGACTTGATGGCACCTAACAACAATTGTGATCTCTATAACTGTAACTTTGTAATGGCAGGTTTTGAAACCTTTTAAAGAGAAGACAGACCATGAGTCAGCATATCATTAAATTTAGCTATATAGATCAGATACAAATTTTAGATGATAAAACAGATTTTAGTAATCGCAGTCCTAAAATCTAAGCCATTTGTTTAATTTTCTGTTATTTTATAACATAAAAGGAAGGACCTGAAGTTGTTATTCCATCTAGAAATTGTTTAGAGCATGTACCTTCCAGAATAGCCAAGTTGACAATTACTTATTTCTACATTTTTAAAGCCTGAAATGATCTATAATTCTAAGTGTATTGACATTTTTAAAACTATATATAGTCTTAACCCTATTTGAATAAATTAAAATTATGGATTGCTGAATTCAGAATTATCTTTAAAAAAAAAGAAGTAGTACAGCCAAAATGCTCTTTAAGAGCCAGGATGGCCAGACTTTGTCTCTCATACTTTGGACATATTATCAGGGGAGACCAGCAACTGAAGAAGGACTTCATGCTTGGTAAAGTGGAGGGTCAGTGTAAAAGGGGAAGAACCCCAACGAGATAGATTGGCACAATGGCAGCAATAATGGGCTCCAATGCAGCAACGATTGTGAGATTGGTGCAGGACTAGCTGTGTTACATTCTGTTTACATGTTGTTGTTGTTGTCAGGTGCCATCGAGTTGGAACCGACTCATAGTGACCCCATGCACAGCAGAACGAAACAATGTCCGATCCTGGGCCAACCTCACTACCGCGGCCACACTTGACACCATCAATGATGCCACCTGGCTGATCCATCTCGTTGGGGGTCTTCCTCTTTTTCTCTGACCCTCCACCTTCCCCAGCATGACATCCTTCTCCAGCGACTGTTCTCTCCGGACAATGTGTCCAAAGTAGGAGAGACGAAGTCTAGCCATCTTGGCCTCCAAGGAGCACTCTGGTTGCACTTCTTCCAAAACAGATCTATTGGTTCTTTTGGCAGTCCATGGCACTTTCAGTATTCTCCTCCAACACCACAACTCAAAGGCATCAATTCTTGTACGATCTGTTTACATAGGGTTGCTATAAGCTGGTACCAACTCAATGGCACCTAACAACAACATATAGAAGAGGGGAAGCACAGAGGCTCCATAGGATAAGCATTGGACTACAAACAACAAGATCGGCAGTTCAAACCCACCATACACTCCATGGGAGAAAGATAAGGCTTTCAGATCAGTTTTCTATTCAACAATTTATACACATTCTGTTTCATCTCATTAACTGCAATCCCCAAAGGAAACATCACTTATCCTACTTCCTCTCTGTGTTTTCTGTTTGCATTTCAACATGTAGTTTTGATGATAAAATGTTTGCTAGAAACCACTGCCATTTCCTCTACTTACCTGCTTTTATAAAATAATGATCTTTGTCACTCAGCACCAGAGGATGAGAATGGTTGAACTCAAAGAATGTAATCAATGCTACTAAATTGTACATATACTTTTAGTACATATTGTTGTTGTTAAGTGCTGTCAAATAGGTTCCAACTCACAGCAACCCTATATAGGGTTTCTGAGGAGTAACTGGTGGGTTTGAACTACCAACCTTATGGCTAACAGATACCACACCAAGACTCCAAACAGTACATATAGAAACTGTTCAATTGGCATATGTTTTGCTGTGTATATTCTCAACAAAATAAATATTAGAGAAAAAAGTATGTTCTTCACCATATATCCTATATAAACCTCTACTTATGAAACTCTCTTGATCCTCTACTCATTAATGTAAAATCTGAGAAGAAGCATGAGACAGAAAATAATATGAGAGAAAAAATATCATTATATCCTAATTACACTTCTCATATCTCTCTGGAACTAGAATTTTCCAAAACTGACGTAAGCTATCAAGTCACAGATTCTAAAGACTCAAACTTCAAAGGGACAAGGTTAAGACTGGCAGCTGACTTCTTAATAGTAATAATATGCTATGAAGCATCTCCTCAGGGACCATGGAGCTGAAAGGCAGCACTTTTTCCTTCTGATCTGCAAGATGTTGTTGTTGTTGTTGTTAAGTGCCTTCGAGTCGGTTCCGACCCATAGCGACCCCGTACAGGGTTTCCGAGGCTGTAAATCTTTACGGGAGTAGAAAGCCTCATCTTTCATAGACTCAAATCTTAGAAAGAACCAAGAGTGATTCGTTTGTATGAAAAAGCGAACTAAGACCTTCAGATCAACTTTTAAGGGAAGGAAAAGACCCATACTGAAAATATTCATTCTTTAATAAATGTACAAAAGATCAATATGGGGAAAACAACAATAATAAAACTGTGCTGTTTTCCACCTCAAACACAGGAAAAGGAAAGCCTAAATTTTAGAGTTTTGTAGTCTCGATTTAAGAAGCACAGAATCAAGTCAAGTTTCAATTATGACATTATATACACACACAACAAAAACAGAAGTGATTCAGTAATTCAAAGGACCCTAAACCTTAAAAAGCACAAGTAACATTGTTGAATTATCCCAATAGACAAGGGAAAAAGTGCTTATTATTAATATTAACCAATTCAAATTAGTGCAGAAGTTAGCATCTTACCTGACTGGATTCCTGTTTTTCTGCTAAATAAAGGAACTCTAGTTAGTGTATAACGGTTTAGTAAGAAAGCATGACATTTTAAACTTAGTGTTTATTCCCATCCATCAAAGTTGCATCAAAAACTTTGCCCCACTTCCTCATAATCCCTCTCCAGGGCTGCCAAATCTTCCCTAGCCTCTCTGAACTCCCCTTCATCCATGCCTTCTTTAATGTACCAATGCACAAAAGCCCTCTTGGCATACATGAGGTCAAACTTGTGGTCCAGGCGGGCCCAGGCCTCTGCAATCGCTGTGGTGTTGCTCAGCATGCAGACAGCCCGCTGAACTTTGGCCAGGTCCCCTCCTGGCACCATGGTGGGTGGCTGATCATTGATGCCCACCTTGAAGCCAGTTGGACACCAATCTACAAACTGAACAGATTTCCTAGACTTCATGGTTGCAATTGCAGCATTTACATCCTTAGGGACCACATCCCCTCTGTACAGCAGGCAGCAGGCCATGTACTTCCCAAGTCGAGGGTCACACTTGACCAGCTGGTTGGAGAACTCAAAGCAAGCAGCAGTGATGTCTGGCACGGAGAAGTGCTCATGGTAAGCTTTGTCAGCAGAGATGATGGGGGCATAGGTTGCTATGGGGAAATGTATTCTCGGATATGGTACTAGGTTGGTCTGGAATTCAATTAGGTCCACATTCAAGGACCCTTTAAACCGGAGGGAAGCGGTAATGGAAGACACCACCTGACCTATCAGCCTATTAATATTGGCATAAGAAGGGCATTCCACACCAAGCTTACGATGGCATATGTCATAAATGGCCTCATTGTCCACCATGAAGGCACAGTCTGAGTGCTCGATGGTGGAGTGGGTGGTGAGGATGGAGTTGTAAGGCTCTACCACAGCAGTGGAGATTCTGGGGGCTGGGTAGACAGAGAACTCCAGCTTAGTCTTCCTGTTATATTCTATCGAGAGTCGTTCCATTAAGAGAGATGTAAATCCTGATCCAGTTCCTCCTCCAAGACTTCGGAAAATCAAAAATCCTTGAAGTCCGCTGCACTGTTCTGCCTGGATAAGATAAATGGGAATGCAGGCAAATCAATCCAAAAAGGGTGGTAATGGTAGAGTATAAGTATCTCACCCCGATCCTCCGAAAATATACTTTTTAACGGGATTCATTTACCATTAGCTCTGGAACAAATAGTCTACTTTGAAATATACTTGTGAGGTACTTCTGGAGTGGAAGAAGGGTCTTACAATTTCATTAGGAACAAAGCACATACAACTGCTTTTCAATACCCTCCACAAGTTTCTCTCTCTGTTCTAAAGCAAGGCCCTTTATCCATAACAAAGAATGGTGGTGGTGGTGGTGGTGGTGTCGGTTTTGACTCATAATGACCCTGTATAGGGTTTCCAAGGCTGTAAATCTTTACAAGAACAGGAAGCTACATCTTTCTTCCACGGAACAGCTGGTAGACCTTAAGTTGAATAGCCCAATTCATAAACACTACGTTACCAGAGCTCCTTATAACAAAGAATATGACTAGCAAAACATTGAAGCAAAATTATTTTCCTTCACAGTAGAAACCATACCCAATCTACCACGCTAATATAAAAGGCATTGTATACCTACTTCATGCCAAACATCAAAACACTTAATTGGCAAAATATTCGATTAGTCCTTAAAGAATTGCTGTTGTTGTTAAATGCTGTAAAGTCGGTTTCCAAGGATAGGCTGGTGGGTTTGAAGCACCGAACTTGTGATTAACAATCCAATGCTTATCCTACAGAGCCATAATTAGCTGTCAGTAAATAGCATAAATGAGAAAGTTCTGGCGAGCTACATCCTAAAGGTCACAGCCATTGAAAACCCCATGGAGCACACTTCTTCTCTGATACATATGAGGCTGACTTGATGGCAACTTTTTAAAAAAATTTTTAAATAGAATAATCTCCAGGTAAGGAATGCCACCTGTAATTATTCAAATAGTGGTTACTGTCTTTAAACGGCAAATGTTGGAGTGCTTTAGATACCACTGGCAACAAGATAAACCCTTCATCAGCAGAAGGAAAGGCAGATGGGGCTAAATGGTTGAGTCACTCTTCCAACATAACAAACTGTAACCAAAGCTAACTTTAGGGCACTTCCGCATCTCTGCGTACTCACTGTGCTATTTCAAGGTGATAGAGTTGAGTGGCAATGATGTGGTTGTTGTTGTTATTAGGTGCCCTCAAGTCAATTGAGGCTCATAGTGACTTCAAGTCACAGAAGAAACCTGATCCATGGGGTTTTCTAGGCTGTTATCTTTATGGAGGAGTCCTGGTGTGATGCTGTGGGTTAATGCGCTGGACTGCAAAGTCAGCTTGAACCACAAAGTCGCCAATTCTAGCTCACCAGCTGCTCCTTGGAAACGCTATACAGGGTCGTTATGAGTGGGAACCAACTGGATGGTACTTAGCAATAACAAAAATTTTTACAGAAGCAAATTATCATGTCTTTTCCCTCACGGTTCCTAGATAGGTTCCAAAGGTTAGAGTTTTGGTTAGCAGCTGAGCTCTTAACCACTGCATCACCAGGGCTCTCTGTGGTTGTAGGTAATGCTGGTGATGTTTGGATAGAGTTCTGCTACAGGGATAGAAGCATCCAGGCCTGGCCCCATCTGCAAGGAAGATGAGCTACTTGCCAGTTTTCGGATCCTCTCTAGCACAACGTCGATGATCTCTGGCCCCAAAGAGCAGTGGCCCCTGGCATAGTTGTTTGCAGCATCCTCCTTTCCACTAAGGAGTTGGTCTGGGCGGAAGAGTGAGCGGTACTTTCCTGTACGAATCCCATCTGCAAAAAATGAAAGGAAGTCAGTGCATTCTGCCAAATTCAATTGTTTAACTCTGCCCCCTCTGTATGCGGGCCTTCATTCTTTCCCTACACGTTACAGCAAAGGAAGATAATTTTACTGCTGAATTAGCCTTTCTGCTCTGTGAGATAAGCACTGAACTGCTAACTACAATATCGGTGGTTCAAACCCACCAGCTGCTCCTTGGAAACCCGATAAAATGTTGCAGTGAGTCAGAACCAACTCAATGGCACTTAACAACAACAATAATAGTCTAGGAAAAAGGACCCCTTTTTCCTAGACTATTAATGAGAACTATTATTATTATTTTCCTAGATTATTATTGAGAAGGATTAAGCACTCTGCTATTAACCAAAAGGTTGGTGGTTTGAAACCACCCAGCAACTCTGCGGGGAAAAGGCCTGGTAATTGGCTTCTGTAAAGATTTTTGTTGTTGTTGTTAAGTGCTGTCAAGTCAGTTCCGACCCATAGCGACCCTGTACGGGGTTTCCGAGGCTGTAAATCTTTACGGGAGCAGAAAGCCTCATCTTTCTCCCACGGAGCAGCTGGTAGTTTTGAACTGCTGACCTTAAGGTTCGCAGCCCGATTCGTAACCACTACGCTACCACAGCTCCTTTCTGTAAAGATTACAGTCTAGAAAACCGTATGCGACAGTTCTACTATGTCACTTAGGGTTGACATGAGCTAGAATCAATTCAATGACAGCTAACCACAGCTACAACAAATTTAGGAAAAGGTATAATAAGTCTCCAAGTAAAAATTAAAAGTATGTTTTTTTATTATACACCCTAAGACAAGTGGATGTTTTAAGGCAAATGTTTCTATTTATAAAAGAATCAAGTGAGTGCTATTTGGGAAAGTATATAATTCTAAATTAATATGGGTATGTTTTGAAAACAGCTTTAACAAAGAGGGTTTGACAAACTCAAATGCCCACATGACCCAAATGTGGTTAACAGTATACCCATACTATCCTTTCTAGCTTCCTGGGCACTCACCTACCTTTCTCAGAGAATTCAGTACCTTAACCAACATTCTGGAGCTCTGGTAGTGTAGTGGTTATGAATCGGGCTGCAAACCGCAAGGTCAGCAGTTCGAAACTACCAGCTGCTCCGTGGGAGAAAGATGAGGTGATCTGCTCCTGTAAAGATTTACAGCCTTGGAAAACCTGTTCAGGGTTGCTATGGGTTGAAACTGACTCCACGGCACTTAACAACAACAACAACAACAACCAACATTCTGAGGGCTTTCAATGGCTTTTAACCATTCTAATCTGGCAGTTTCATAACTTCCTTAACTCCAATGTCATTCAGCTCCACAATACTTGAATCACCATCACTTAGAACCGTCCTACCTCTAAAACTTTCAATTAGCAAAATCCCTTCTCTGATTGCAACTTTCTTATATCCCCTTGACTATGCCTTTGACCCTGCCCCCGAAGATCTTTCCAGCTTCATCTCCCATTGCTCTCCTACTCACACCTTAAGTTCTAGCCACACTAAACTTGTTTAACTTGCTGTATGCCTGCATGTTTCTGTGAATTTGAAGATGCTATTCTCTCATGAAGATATTTTTGATAACTCCAGAGTTAGTCCTATTCCTTCCTCAGTGATGATACCTCTGTATCTTGTAAAAAATAATAATTGTTAAACCATTTCTTTAAGTCAAAAATGGTCAAAATAAACAATTTCATTTATTAGTGTTTTTATATTCATTTACATTTTTGTCACTCTTACTGGATTGTAGGCATTTTTAAAAGAGAAATGGCATAATGTAGTGATGAAGAAATAGCTTTATAAATGAAAATGTGATGGTTAAATGTTACGTATCAACTACGTTAGTCCATGATTCTCAGTGGTCTGGCAGAACATCTATCATTTGTTTTCTGATGTGAGCAGCCAATCAACTGAAAGGGGAGTTTCCTTGGGGATGTTGCCTAACTCTAGCATAAAGAAAGATGTTTTGACACAGCTCACTCTTGACCCTTCAATCTTCTTGTCATCTGGCCTCTGATTAATGAGATGTGAGCCTGTAGAAGTTGCTGATCTGCCACTTCACCTATAGATTTTGGATTTACCAGCCTCCACAATCGAAGAATAACAATAACAACAATAACCCTGGGAGCTGGCAGAGTCCTCCAGCCTGCTGCCTGACCTGCAGATTTTGGGTTTGTTATCTCCTGCAACCATGTGAACCTGCAATGGTTTTCAGGCTGTGTACTGACTCACAGGTTTGGGACTTGCTACTCCCCACACGGCACATAACCACCCTTGAAGTAAATTTCTCTATGTTTATATTTATGTACATTTCACTAGTCTCATTCCTCTAGAGGACTCAGATTAAGACAGAAGGCAAAGCTAGAATCTAACCTAGTTTTAACTCTGATTTTACACAAGTTCTGAGACTGTTTCCTTACCTATGAAATGAGGATAAAAATAGTGTCTATTGACAGGGTTTCTAAAAGGACTAAAGAAAAAAATACTCATGCAGTTCCTCAACTAATCAATTGTATTCTTCATTGTCAAGGGAAGAGATCAGCATTCATTCATCTTTTTACTCCTATCACCTAACTGAAATAAATGATTATTGAATTATGTTAAATTCTTTCTCATTATGACCTTGAATCCATCAGCCTTGTATTTTTTTCTACACCACACCCCCAACATTAATTGCATTTGTTTCCTCATCCAACCTGGCTCCCTGCTCAAAGCCAGATGTTCAGCTAGAATCCTTCTTGGCCTGGCCTACCCACCATACAACTTGGGTAAATGCCACTAGTCACTCCCTGCTCCTCTCAGTGCTACTGAAAACACTGAGGAGATGGTTTTCTAGGTCACTTCATACCCACACTCCACAGATAACTCATTTTTCATTTTTACCCTCTATTCTTTTCTTAAAATGAGTGTTAGAAATTTTTTCTTCCTTCTTCAATCATAAGATTCCTGAATGAAGTGCTCTCAAACACTCTGTACCACAAAATCCCTGTCTTCCAACTCAGGGAAGAGAGAGAAAGAAGGGAGAAGCATAGCCCCACCTTCCTGTCAGTGTTGTTGGGTTCTCCCTACTCACTTACTCTGAAACCTCTCTCTTTTACTTCTGCATATAAATATAGAATTCTACTTAGAAAATTCAGCTAAAACAACAAAATGACAACCCAATTTTAAAATAGGCAAGGGTGTAGACTAGACATTTCTCCAAAGAAGGTATACAAATGCCTAAAAAGCACACGAAAAGATGTTCAACATCATTAGTCACTAGGGAAACACAAATCAAAACAACAGTGAGATACTACTTCACACTTTCTAGAATGGTTATGATAATAATACTTTTTAAGAAAGAAAGAAACTAACAAGTGTTGGTGAAAATCTGGAGACACTGGAATCCTTCTCCATTGCTGGTGGGAATATTGAATGGCACAGCCTTTGTGGAAAAGAGGTTGGCAGTTCCTCAGAAAGTCAAACAGAGTTACCAATGACCTAGCAATTCTACCCCTAGGTATGCATATATCCAGGAGACGTGAAAACAGGGACTCAGACTAATACTTCTATAACAGTGTTCATGACAACATTGCTCACCATGGCCAACAGATGAAAACAACCTAAATGTCCGTCCATCAACAGTGTATGTAAAACATACATGCATGTAATACATACGATGGAATATAATTTAGCCATTAAAAGTAAATTAAGTCCTAGGGGTTCAGAATCATGGTCTTGGGGGACATCAAGGTCAGCTGGCATAACATAGTTCACAAAGATGATGTTCTACATCCTACTTTGGTGAGTAGTGACTGGGGTATTAAAGGTTCATGAGCGGCCATCTGAGGTGCAAGTATTGTCTCTCCCTAACGAAAAGAGTGCTGGTGTGGTACTGCGGATTAGTGCACTAGACTGTAAGGTCCGTTTGAACCACAAGCTTGGCAGTTCAAACTCACCAGCTGCTCCTTAGAACACCTATACAGGGTCTCTATGAGTCAGAACTGACTCGACAGCACTAAACAACAAGGAAAGAATTGAAGATGAATGGAAAAAATTAGTCCAGTGGAGTAATGGGCTATGTGGACATCAGTCTCCATGACCCTGAGATCAGAAGAATAAGATGGTACCCAGGTACCACTAGCAATTGCTCTAAAAAGGAATCACATTAAAAGGTCCTGGAAACAGTGGGAGAAAAATATAAAGCAAAACTTAAAATCACTTAAAAAGACTAGGCTTACTGGTCGGATAGAGACTGGTGGAACCCCCAAGACTGTGGCACTTATCCTTCAGGTCTGGAAATGGGCTCAATTTTCAGTCAAACAACAGACAGTTCTATAATGAGAATGGTAAGAGCAGTGAGGTAAACACACCTTGGAATAATCAACCATTTGAGATATAAAGGGCAACATTTATCCCAGGACAAAGTTCAAATAGTTAGGAAAGAAGGAGGAATGGAAACAGGAAACACAGGGAGGAAGTGGATAAGTGATGTTACATTGTGGAGATTGCAATCAATGGCATGAAACAAAAAGTGTATAAATCATTGAATGGTAAACTTATCTGCTCTGTACACCTTCAACCAATTTTCAACAAAAAGTTTAAAAATAAGAAAAACAATTTTTTTAAGACCAGAAACTTTAAAAAAATGAATGAAGTTCTGATATATGCAACAACATGGATGAAATATAAGCATTACACTAAGTGAAATAAACTGGACACAAAAGGACAAATGTTGGATGCTTCCACTGACTTGAACTATGTAGAATAGGAAATCTAACAGAGACAAAAAATGGCATAGAGATTACCAGGTACTGGGCTGGGAGAAGGTGAAGTCATTGTTTAATGGGTACAAACATTCTGTTTGGGGTTTTGATGACAGGTAATGGTGATGGCTACATAACACTGAGTATAATTGTTAAGTGCTGTCAAGTCAGTTCCGACTTTTAGGGACTCTGTATAGTTTCCAAGGAGTGACTGGTGGGTTTGAACTGCTGACCCTGTGG